AGCTCTACTCCATCCTGCTAGAGGCATTGACAGGTCCTGCAGTATCAGCAACAGCAAGCAGGGGTCGAGGAGAGGGGCAGAGACAGGCTCAGCAAAGAGGGAGGGGCCAGGGGGGGAGAGGACGGGGCAATGAAGGGAGAGGGAGGGGCAATAGGGGAGGAAAGAGGGGCAACAGTAGCAGAGGAACGACGTCTTCAGACAGTGCTGTGGACAACAGGTTTGCACTGTTGACCTTTGATGACTCTCAGCAGTGGTGGCCTTGAAATGGCAGCAGGAAATGAAAGATTAGATTTGAAAGGTTAGTTCAGGAGAGGAGAATAAAGAATTTCAGAGATAGTTATGTTTTTAACTATGTTCTTATGTGGCCTTTCACTTTATAAAAGCATGATGTGGCTGAGGATGTGCCACTTCTCAGATTAGAGTAGCTTTTACCGACTTCATTTCAGGAAACACAAATTGTTTTGTTTACTATGAAAATGTTTAACTATGAGAGCTGTTACATATGCACTAGGTTAATATGCACTGAATCTATTTTGCAGCTACATCATGAAAATGGTCTGTTTAATGTAAACTTTTATACTATTTAATTGAATGAACTTTTATGAAAAAGAATGTAGAATTTGTATATTATCTTGGGACCAATATTTTGTTGCTCCACCTTTTTATAAAATATTTGATTGTGTGTAGTGTAATTTGCTAATATCATGTTTTTAATAGGATCTGATTCCTCCCCCTAATTAGGTAAAGCTTGATTATTGTGCCAATGAGACGACAGCCAATATGATGTAGTCGTGACTGAATACAAAACTTCAGTTATATTCTGTTTCAAAACAGCACATAATCTCTTGGCTCCCTGCTGTTGCTCTCTGGAATTAACTGCAGACTGAAATTAAGTGGCAAATTATCAAGTGCAGTTTTACTGGAAAGTGTTTTTGTGCTCTAATGGATGTCAATCAAGGCACATCCTTACAAGAAATTTGTTTTAAGTTTCATATCTCTTGGCGGAAGTGAGTATTTTAGTGGGTAACTTTTCATATATTGAAAGTATCGCTTATATTTCAAAGTATTTGTTTCTGAAATGTCTAATTGCGCTTAACCATGAAAAGTTCTGTTGATGACTAAACAAGACACAAGTTAATTAGTAACACACATTAACATAAACATAGCAAAACCAAAATACAAGCATAATTTTAATCTCAAGAGGCGTTGAATGTAATGACTTCTCTCTTTGTCCTGGCATTTTAAGATAGGCAGTTGAATATGAATTATAATTAATCTTTGTTGTATTAAAAAAAAAAGATTATGTTCAAATGTGTTTGTATAACTTTAATAAATGTATTTGAAAATCTATTAAATTTGGGCTATATTCAATAACATTTTGTATTAAATTTTTTAGTTGTATTGCATATTTAATATATCACAGTAACTATAAGGGTTCAACAGTGATAATAATAAGTAATGTTTCTTGAGCAGCAAATCAACAAAATTATTTCTAAAGGATCATGTGACACTGCAGACTGGAGAAATGGAATTTGATGCTGAAAATTCAACTTTACAAGAATAAATTACATTTTAAAATATATTTAAATATAAGTCATTTTTAATTTGATAATATTTCACAATATTCCTCATTTTACAGTATTTATGAACAAATAATTGCAGCCTTCGTGAGCAAAGGGAAAAAACGAAACTTTTGGTCTGAAGTGTACATAAAACAAAACATTGTGCTAATAAGTTTACTCAATTTTCTAGACACGATTTACAAATCAAGTGACCTAGCTGCTACCTAATAAAAATTGGAAATGTTCTCACATTGAATTTTTAGGATGTGATGGTCTTATGATTGACAGGTGCACCTTTTTTGTACAGTTTTTTTTTAAACAGTCGTTCTTGTCCTGAATTATATCTGTCAGTTTGTTGGCGTGTAGTATTAAGTGTATAGTGGTAGTCCGGGGGTCTAATCTTGGCATGAGGGGCTGGAGAGGGCGGATCAGATGTCAGATCCCTGACTGTAATAGCAGTCGCGCCTGGAGATTCCCACAGACTCCGTGGGAAGCATTCTTACGACTTAATAACACAGCCGCACTGACAGACGAGACCGAGACAGCAGAAAATAGGGTGTGTGAGAGAGAGAGCTGCTGGCATTTCAAACTGGATGGGAGAGGGCGGACACCGACTCAGATCTGTGTATTTTTGACACACTCGTACAGGAACATGGCCATGAGCAGGATTGGGATACAGCTGCAGTTTCTGCTGTACTCGGTGTCAGCCTACCTTTCACCGTACAATCTGGAAAATATCCTCCCGATTCCTACAGGTACGAGAGAGCTAGCGCGTGAGGGATTATCAATTTGTGATAATGAGAGCGTGTGGCTTGTGATATGTTTGCGTACGTATGCAGCTTTTTATATAAATACACAATTTTAGATAGACAGACAGGTCAATGTATTGCATATATAAAAAAAAAATATATATAAAAATTTTAATCATATGTTACTTATTACATTATATTATATTACATATACATGCATTATAGGGCCCAAACGTTTTACATTATTTTCTCGGTTTTTAATATATTTTTTTAATTAATAATTTTCAGTTGTAAATTATATTATCAGCATAACAATTTGAATGAAAACTTGTGCAAAATCTGTAAATGTAAATTAACTTGTTGATAAGTGACCTAGAAACTGTGCAATTAAATAATAAATATCTTTATTCATTCAACGTCATAATGTTACCCCACTGTTTATTTTGGACATTATTACAATACATATATTTTATATGCATATTGTATGCATGTATCTTTAATATGCAGGTGTGGATTAGGTTGCACATTGGGATTAAAATTACCTTATTAAAAATACATGACATATTGAACGCTTGTTATTTCTATATTTACATTGTCTATGCTGTCGTGACATTTATAACATGTATGCTTGGTAATTAATACAGTTAGTGTAGATCAGCTTGTGATTAATTCATGTTCTATATTTCATCTTAAAGGTGTTGCATGTTTTATCAGGCTTCATATTTCCCAAGTGATATTAAGTCTTGTTCAGATCTTATGTTGAATTCTATAGGCTATGTTGTCATTCATCCGTACGTATCCATTTTCTATTAGGTGTATTTTTCATATAGGTTTTTAAAGCAGCTAAACTGCAGTGCTATTTCTCCACAAGTATTTTTGCCAATAAGATTATTGATTATAATTAATGTCTCTCTGTCTCGTCTGGTTGGTTTTGTGGTTTATTCTTTTAGACCGGGATCCAAATGATATCTTGAAAAGATTTGACCCTTGTTGTCTGCTGACCCCGCCTCCCCCTCCTTTGTTCCCGCCCCCTCCTGGTGTCTGGAAAAGAGAGCCTGTGAGTAACATAATATTAGTGTACATAATTCTAACAGCAGGAAATGACAGCATGTCTGTTAATCCACCATTTATCTGTTGTTGTTTTTTTTAAAGATCTTGCCTAGTCATGTGGAGGGGACGAGAGTAAGAGAGGAGGATGGGGAGCAGGTGAAGGAACTCTGTGTGGCGGGACCACCAGGACCTCCTGGACCTGTTGGACCACAGGTAAGGCACACAAAGAGTTAATGAAGTCCCTCCCCAGACAACTAAGTGAGATGGAGAACAAAATATATGAATTCATAGGTTTTACTTTGTTTTAGGGTCACAGTGGCATCCCAGGGATGGAGGGACCCAAAGGAGATAAGGTAAGATGGTTTAACATCTGGTTACGAGGAATCAGTTGCTTATGGGTCTGTTAATTTTGAAGTCTTTTATAAAATTGAACTGTTCTTCTTTTCACTTTAGGGTGACATTGGAAGACCAGGGTCAAAGGTCAGATTCTCATCTTTGATCTTCTAAAGTATTTATTCATTATTGTGCACCAAATGCATGCATAACGGTAATGATGGAAAGTCAGGGATGGCTTCCAGACTTCATAGAGCACATGGAGCAGAAATCTTTTTTATATCATTTCTGTCATATAAAATATCTCTGTTTATGACGAGGCAGGTTGCATTTTGCAGACCATGCTGTTTATGACATGCCCTCTTGGTGCATGTAATAGTTTTACAGGGTATCAGGCCATGTGCTGTTTCATTGGCTGCAGTGCACTGCAGTTCTGCCCTGTAATATTACTTAGTGCTGAACTCAGACATTAATCTCAGCCCTGCACTGCTGCTCTCAGTCAAAACACACACACAGCTATTTAATTGCACTGAACTCTTAAGCTCCTCAAGCAAAAAGAGGGAAGGAGATTGAAGCACAGGACATTTTATGGGGGACTGCAAAAATTATTTTCTAAATCAGATTTTTTGTTCTGATTTCCATTAAAAATATAAAAAACATTTACCTGAGAACCACAACTGCATAAAATGAAACACTTGTTATCAGAGAAAATATCTCTATCAGAGAAAAATCTTTTTGGAATAAATTAATTTTCATTTTCATTTTTGTTTATTGTTGGCATTTTTTGTTAGGGAAATGTGTAAAGAAAATACAATTAATTCAAGATGGGCTCAGTAAGATATTTTAAAATGTTTTTGAAATTAGTCTCTTATGCTCACTAGTATTATAATATTAATAGCTAATATTATCTTGCAATAAATGTAGCTCTTCAGTAAACATAATGCAGGTTCTGCCGTTTTATGAGTTGTTACATATTTGTATCTGTTACACTGATTTTACCATGATTTTACCTTGGGTAAAGGCTTTGCGTTTTGCCCTAGAACACCCTTTACCTGTGATAAAATGCACAGCCTCTCATAGCTTATTACTTTATTATCTTACACTATTTTACTTCTCAAATTATTTATATATATATATATATATATATATATATATAT